TCTCGGTGGAAACCACAAGCTCCTCACTGGACTCCACAAGTTTGGCAGCCTCCGCCTGGACACCGGCAGGGACTTAAGTCGGAACCTATAGGTAGGGGGGGGCAAACATGTATCGAATTACGAGGGCATGGATATAGTTCTGCAAAAACTATCCCGGGGCCTGTGTTGAGGGGGCTGCTGGCAAAGCATCTCCGGTGATCATGTCTTCCCCATAGCCAAGCCACATCGGACAGGTGTCCATATCATCCGTGCCTTAATATTGGTGTTAGATGGATTAGCGACCATCGGGAAATACAAAATAAGCTACAGTATATGTACATGATATGATAACAGCTATATTAGAACAACAAAATCTAAGAATAATGATGGATTCCATCTGGGCACCATACGGAAGGTCCAAGCTGGGCACTATGCTGACCAGGGGTTCCGGCATCTTGCCGACACTCACGGTTTCTGGTTCGAGCTTGCTGTGCGCTTGGGTTCGCCTTGGGTGCTTGGGCTCGGTGGGCTTCGGCTCGGGGCTGCTTTCACTGCTAAACTCCAGCTTCTTGGCAACTGCTGCTTCAGCCAAAGCCAAAGCTTTCTGCTCATTGAGCAGTCCTTGGAGAACAATCTCCTCTGTCTCTAGCTGGTGAAGCAGAACCATCTGCTCAAGTTCAGCTTCCTGCTTCTGAAGCTCCATCAAATCTAAAGCAGCCTTCCTGTCTTCGACCTCCTGCAACCTGCGAAGTTCCGACTCTGCACTAGCCACTGCAGCTGCATCCTGGGCAGCTTGCTCAGCATGTGTGAGCACAGCAGGTTCAGGCTCCTTGTCGGCAGGCTCCGCCAAGCATGGCAACCGTTTAAGTTTGTCCAAATCTCCACACAATCCACAAATCAGGCACTCGACTCCAGCTGTCCGGCTTTCTCGAATGTGTTTCACAGTGTAGTGAAGCCCCTTCGCTCTGCAATCCGACATAGGAGATAATGGCACACCTGCAGCATTAAACCCTATTCGGCACTCTTTTACATGCATGATGTTTAGACATGCACATGTACACACACACACACGGAGTGAGTGAGAGAGATAAACAAAATATAGGGAGAGAGAGAGAGAGAGAGAGAAAGAGAGAGAAGATACCCAGTATAGGTGGGCATGTAAACCAAGGCACGTGGAGGTGGCGTCACGATCGTGGGGGTGCTGGCTCCGACACTGGAACCTTAATATGGATCAGGATGGGTTCGGGTGTAAATTTTAGGGTTTAGGGTTTAGGGTTTGGGGTAGATATGCCGGCTAGTAGCCATCAGGTTCAGTCGGAGTGAGTGTGCGGGCAACACCCACTTTTCCACTGGGGAGCTTTGGAAGACTTGCAGCAGGCTTGGGTCTAGCAGCTGGAGGTTCGGGGCCGGGCGAAGACAAAGGTCGCTTTGTTGATGGGGCCGGTTTCGATACAACCGTTGCGCTGGGCTTGCCATCGGGAGGGCTCGGGGGCTTTGGGGCCGCTTCCACAGCATGTCCGGACTTTGTCGCCACAGCAGCCGTAGCGCCTTTCTCCTCACAAGTGAAAGAACCGAATTCCCGTCAACCACACGAACCCTGTAGCATTGCCCCTCATGAATGTGCAGACTGCTTAAGCACACACACATACAAACATAAGTGCAAAACATGATCGGGATAAAGTTTCAAGGGTTTGCTGGAGTACTATATATTAAGACGAACCATATGAATATTAATAAGATACCGAAAACACAGTCTCTACATGCATGCATATGTGTCCATGTGTGTAGCATGTATATGTTATATTTGCATATGTGTACACACTAACCCGGGTATGTACATGTGTGTTTGTATGAATATATATATATATACATATGTGTTTATATATATATATGTATATGTATATATATATATATGTGTGTGTATACATGCGATTATGTATAAGGCACATGCAAGCCCAATCCTCAACCTCCATCTCAGGATCCTCCGAAGCGGACGACTCGCTCTCCGAGCTCTCACCTTCGTCTTCATCGTCATGGCTGGTCTCATCACCATCCGAACCTTGAGCTATAATTTCGAGGCTACACAGGATATCCTTTCTACATGTGGTTGTAGTTCACTTGTGGCACATGTACTGATGCGGGCCAAGAATCCGATGTTCATTCCGCATGCGACCATCATAGCCCGAAATTCTGAATTTCGGGGGGTGTGCGGTCGCTTTGCAGCGCGACTAAACATGCAGATCAGGCGTCGAATGATCCAGGCCTGTGTTTTCAAGGTTGTGCCTGGGCACAGCATCGGGGATCAATGCACACAGCTTAGTGACATCATGTACGTGCAATCACATCAACGAGCTACACATGCTGTCCAAGTATCTGTCAGGGATCTTGTGATGTATCGGGCGATAACCCGCGTACAGTCGCTGCAGGTATGAGGCCACCAGGTCAACCGAGGGCCTCATTCCTGGGACTTTCTGCATGCATCTACATACATGGTCTTGCTAGCTGCTTAAGACATGACATGATCCGATTAGTTGCCAGCGAGAAACCGACAAGATTGATAAGAGGCTCCAATAAAGCCCGGTTAGCGGTACAGGTAGACCTTGTAAGCTTCGAGTCACTGCTCAAGATCAGCACATTCTTCGAAGTCAGCCTGTCAAGTACTACTTTGCTCTGGGACCACGCAGCCAGCACTGGGCATTGCGAAGAAGTCGTACTCCCTGCGTCCGACATGGTGCCAGCTATCAGATCTCCCGAGATCTCGCACAGTACGTGAAGCACACATGCACAAACACTAGAAATCCCACTGATTAAGATCGAATCTGTACGTAGCTGCTGCATGCACCGTAGGTCTACTGCACATGTAGCATGCTTAGCAGCATGACGTGTTAAGTGGCAACCGAGCCAGCCTGCAGATTTGCACACATATATAGGTACATCTAGCCTGCCATGCAGACAAGCAGCCACACGTGACAGAGTGCACATGTGCAGAATTTTACATGAGCAGTTTAAGCGAGCCAGCAAAACGACCCCACCAGACTCCATGCAAGTAGGCACCAGATCCGACATGCAGTTTAATTTCACACCTCGAGCTAAGGACTGGCCAGATCCTATCCTGGCCACTGCTGTGGTCGCCTGGGATGATCGTGCACAACATACACGTACAACTGCACACACGGGTTGGCACATGTGATGGGAGGCTCATGATGCACACTCATGCAACAGGATTCGAGGGCCAAAATGGCTTGGAAGGCCACGCCCGATTTGATGCCATGCCAACACAGCATGCACCTGCAGCCGGCAAAATACCATAAAGTGCACGTGCCCGGCTGCTATAAACCCAAAAGCGCACGAGGTTTCCAATAAGCGCACGTGATTTATGAGCAAAACCATGAAAACCCAATAACTGTATCAAAACCCCTTCG